TAATATTGCATGAGTTCCTTGTTTTTTAATGCAGCATAGTATTCCATTGTGCGAATATACCACAGCTTCTCTAGCCATTCGTTTGTTGATGGGCCTTGCCTTCTTTTTAATCCTGCTAACCTTCGCTAGGAGTTCTAGTGGCGTATTGGTAAGAAGCTGTATTGCTATCCCAAATGCACACAAGTTCAAATCCACCAGCTGCTCTGAGGGAGAAGGATGTGTATTCTCCTCCTGTGTGATTTACTGCCTCTGAAAACCCACTAGAGGGCCAGCTATGGGTCAGTTCCCAATCAGTGACACATAAAAACAGCCTTTTCTAAGGAGCCTTGGATGTGCAGTACGTTAAAGTATTGTGTTGCCAACAGAAAGGTAGAGAGAAGGATAATCCCCTTTAAAGATTTACAGCCTCAGAACCTACTCCATGGTGGCGGGTAACTTGTGCTGTGTTTATTTGCATTCAGTGAGTAGTGCCAAAGGCAATTTACTGTAAACCTTTGTCTGCCTTCCAGGCTCCAGATTTTTATGTGCAGATGAAATGGGAATTCACCAGCTGGGGTAAGTAAATGGTTGGAGGCTTATACTTTATTCTGTTTCCAAATTTACATAGTTTAGGTCTAGGATTAGGGGGCTTTGGTGGCCTAGTGCATAGGGACTTGTGCTGCTTACCTAAAGGTGGCACCTCTTAGGCTGTTGGAACCCACCAGCGGCTCCGCTGGAGAAGGAAGAAGTCAGTCTCCTCTCATGCTTGATAGCCTCAGAAATCCAGTGAGGGTTTGGCTCTGAGCCAGCTTTGAGATTGACAGCCTCAGAAATCCCATGAAGGGTCTGCTCTGAGCTGGCTTTGAGTCCACAGCAGTGAGTTCAGTAGAGCTGAAATACAGGCTTATTTTTCCTTTGTAAAAAAATCTGGGGGAAACCATCACTCTTTAACTCCACATATAAGCACTGCTCCTGTTAATGTTTTGGGGTATTTCCCTTCTATTCTTTTTCCCCCATCCATGAAACTTTGTACTTAAGCATCTGTAAACATAGTGTGTGGGTAATTTTGTCTCTTCCTTTTTGTTATTCACAGCTGACATTTTTGTGTATTAATGCTTTTTTTAAAAATGTGACTAAATTGCTAAAATTTTATTAAGTGGTTTTACCATAACTTCAATTGCTTATTATGTAGTTCATTTTGATTCTTTCACATTTTTATTCTAAGGAAGAAAATAAGAATGTAGAGTGGGGTTTTTTTATTACAAAGTAAATACCTTTCTTGAAAATATTACATAAGACTACTGACAATATAATTTCAGGGATGTTTAATTTTATTTCTTATAGATGAGTTAATAATAGCTACTAACTTTCAGATTCTTTTTCCATTTTCACTGTCAGACTTCCCTTTTAGGGAAGAAGTTCTATTTGTAATGAAACATTTAAGTGGACTATTAAGGGGGAGGGGTCTAGTGGCCTAATGGTAAGGAGCAGCACTGCCAGTCCAAAGATGTACAGTTCAAATCCACCAGTTGCTTCAAGGGAGAAAGAAGAGCAGTCTCTTTTTTTGCAATTTTCAGCTTCTAAAAACGTGGAGGGCCCGCTCTGGGTCAGTTCCAACAGAACAGTGTATAACAACAATCTTAAGTCTGTAAAAGAAAAAAACTTTAGATTCTTCTGGAAAATGAATGGATGCTTTTTTTAATATAAAGGAGCCCAGGTGGCGTAGTCGAGTTACATGTTGGGTTGCTAACTGAAATGTCCCCAATTCAATCCTCACCACCTGCTCAGCAGGAGAAAGCAGAACTGTCTCCTCCTGTTAAAATGTATAGCCTCAAATCAGATTTTCACTGTGAGTTGGATTGACTCGATAGCAGTGGTTTTGTTTTGAGTAATTCCAGCCTTTTGCCATGTAAGTAATCACTCTTATTTCAGGTTCCATTAAAAAGCAGCACAGCTCAGACATCTGATATTTTGAGTGGTGGATATGATGACAGAGTAGAACACAGCCAGATGAGAAGAATAGCAGACGTGAGAACGCCATAGTACCTCGCACTGGTGGGGCTCAGTAAAGTATGGGGTTCATGTCAGGGCTGAGGATACTCTTGGGAAATTTGTTAAGGGTTTTCTTTGGGCAAGACATAGACCCTGTCCTTTTACAAAAGTGCGAGGGAGCATAAGGTCTGTGTTTATTTCCCAAGAGTGACCTCTCGTGTAGTAATTGTGAGCCAAGAAGCCTATCTGTCTGAGATGGTTGCCATCTTGCCACACCCCCGGCTTCTGTTGAAGACTGGATTCTCATTTCCTGGACCAGAGGGTGAGGTGCGAGCACTGCCTTGGCCCTGGGTTTCTCAGAAATAGTTTTCTCTCCTCTAGTGCCTTTGGTTTCCAGGATATGCCCCAATGATGTCTGCCGCATCTGGAAAAGTGGTGCCAAGCTGCGAGTCGATATCACATTACTAGGATTCGAAAACATGAGCTGGATAAGAGGGAGACGGAGTTTTATATTTAAGGGAGAAGGTAAGTGATTCAGTGATAATCACTGAACAAGCTAAAAGAGTGCTATTTTTTTTCCCCTTCTTAACCAGCTGGATCTGCTCAGTGGGTGGCCCTTCAGCCTTCAATTAAAGGTGGAGGCCTGCTAGAGGTTGTGGCTTTAAAATCCATAATGAGACAATGGGTTTGTGGGCCAGCCTGGGGCCTTGGAGTCTTCCTCCACTCTAGGAGTTGGTGACTAGCTCTATGGCAGTCTCGTCTTGATGGCGGTCATGGAAGGGAAGATTCTGGGGTCATGTTTGTTGTGTGTTACTGTTCTTTTTTCGCCCTACCCCAAAAGCAGGTGGCCCTTGAGCCTTAGACTAAGGGTGGAGGCATGCTTGAGGGTGTGGCTTTAAAATCCAATTTTAGAATGAATATTCTTTAAAAGACACAGCAATCCTTTGTCTATTTGCTGTACTATACAATTTAGAGTTGCTATGATACTGAACTTATTCATTGCAAATACATTTTTTAAGCGACATAAACGTAGATTATACACATGGATTTCACCTGATGGTATGCATAGGAATCAGATCGATTACATCTTTGGAAAAAACCGCTGGAGAAGCTCAATATCAGCTGTGAAAACTAGGCCAGGAGCTGATTGTGGAA